TTTAGTCCTTGCACGGTCGGGCCACCCGAAACACCTAAAGCATGGACTTTCTATAAACCAATGGATCGTGAAAAAAACAGAAAAATCTTTATTTTGCTTGCTATTACTCTGTTTTTTAGTACCTTTTTTTTTTCTTATCTCCTTCTCCTTTATTTTTTAGTTACTCATATTCACAATTGCCAATAACTTCCCAAAGTACACAGTTGTTTGGACCATCATTGGGAACAACTTTACAGCGGTCAGACCAAACCTAATGGTTGCTTTTTTTTTAGCGTACCTCAAAGAGGAAATAACTTCACAGTTGATTGGACCCATACCTTTTCCTCAGCCTTCAGTCTCGCATCGAGTGCAGAAACCCTCTTATACAGAATCTGGGTGTGACGATCGCGCTTCAACCCGCGACCCAGTAATGTATTCCTCGTTCGACGCAGAGTTACCAGCTCATCCATGACCTGAAGTAGCGGTTTACCACAGTGATCCGGAATAAGTTGTACCATAGTGTTTTTTTTTACCCAGGAGAAAGAGCGAGAAGGTATTCTATTGTATTGGACACGATTTGAACTCTTTATCAGTAGTGGCATGTGTCTAGCATTCAGCTACTTTGACAGGTACATTATACCCCAGAGGTGTACATACTACATCCGTAAATACTAAATAAGCCAGAATGATTTCTATTGCTACGATAATTTTAGGTTGTGTGATACATGAACTACAAAAAAAACGCTACTTGAAAATAGTCTCAATGGCACCTTGTCAGGTCCTTGTGCAATTTAAATTTAAAAAACATGGCAGATTTTCAAACACATAAAATAGACTCTGTTTTCATTATGAAAATGTGTTATGTCACTTATGTGACTTACGTCAAGATTTCGTCCAGAAGCCGTAGCTCTTCGGTGGATGCTTGAAGGCACCTTGTCGAGACGACATTTGACCAAAGAAAACTTCAGTTTTTGTCGATCTTTTTCTGCTGCTGAAATACAGGATGCTCCTAGAAAATCACCTATGAAGCAGATGTAATGCATCCTTCGGCGGCGGTTCCAATGCGTGGGATTCAGACGCAAAGCCTCTGCTCTTCCAGCCTTGTTATATTCACGGATAGGTGTTTCAAAGAACATTACTTCTGACACAATGGACAGAATCATACCATAACGAAGTCTCACTTGAACTGCTGAGGTATGATATCCTTTGTAGGTGGATTCACGTTTTACATCACGCCACCATAGACTGAGTAGCTCGCGAACCTTTTTCGCTCTTTTCCAACATGCTGCGGTCGCCATCAAGTTTGTCCCAATTGGGTGAGTTTGGTGCTGTAAGCCACATTGTGGACTGGGAGTGACATTGTCTGGGGAGCAATTTGGACATCTCCGCCCAATTGCCGGACACGAAGTGGTGGTCAAAACTGCTTCAACAGGAAGCTGGCACCTTGGGGGCATAGTTCAAGTGGTGAGACGCATGTTTTGCAAGCATGGACTATGGAGTTATTGGTTCAAGTCCAATCGACTCCAAAAAGCAGTCCAAGGTTCCCAGAGGTGTAAGTACGTAAATAGTCAACAGTCAACCCAATATGCCAATTTTGTTTTCACTTATTCCAAGTACAGTTATCAAAACTCATTTGAAAACGTTGTTGTCAAAAAGAAATAAAAAAAATACCCTTATGCTTGATGCAATCAACAATGCTGACTTGGTGTGAGTGCAGTGAGCAACAAATTTTAAGAGTAACCGATTTGCTGCCTACGTGCACCGAATTTTCACTGACTTGGTGTGAGTTACTCCAGCTCTTTCATTGCAGTTGAAGCTGACACAAAGCTACAAGCAACCTATCAGGGAAATGATCAATATATGAGTTTGAAATCCCACTGTAGTAAGCCCAATAAAAAGAGAGAATGACCACAAAATGACTTGTCAATGTTTGCTCACTTCTCATTTATGGGAGAGCCGAAAGAAGAAACAAAATAAAATACTATAAAAGAGGGAGTGTGAGAAACCATGAAAAGAAAACAGCCAAAAGAAAGAATAACAAGCGGACCAATGAGGGAGAGGAAAACCTAGACGGGGACCAATGAAAGGCCGATAGCAGACAAGTAGGAGGAAATCCTCAAAGAGCATGGAAATTGGTTAAGCACACTGAGCAAAGGGAGTGAACTCGCATGAAAGCCCTGCTACGCCGACTCCGCCTTTTTGGGTAGAACGATGGAGAAGAGGCACTACGTATCAAGAGGAGCACAGCAGACATAGGGGAACAAGCAACAACGGTACCAGATCCAAGGCCAAAAGACCTACAGTGACACAGATCCAACTCATTTCGAGAATCCCAGGAACCTCACAGAGGAAGAGTAACAGACTCAGAAAAGGGAATCCCACCAGGTAATCGTTAAAAAAAAAAAAAAAAAGGCACCGTTCGTATGGACTTCAGCTCCATATCCTTTGCAGCCGAGGTCCTATTCCACTGGCAAGTCTGAAAGATACACCATATGCACACTCTTGACGCTTTCCCACGTTATGCCCGAGGGACTCCTCACAGTATTTAATACTATTTATGGCTTCCTTTCAAAGCATTGACTGTCAGTCCAGCCCATACTTCAGAACAAACCTGTCCCCTTATCAGTACTTAAGCCCCTGAAAAAAACATTGTAAATTGTCAGAATTGTGCCTCTCAAACCTGTTCCCTTATCAGTGCTCAACCCCCTGAAAAAACATCGTGAAAAAATTGTCAGAATTGTGCCTCTCAG